AATCTTGCACTTTTCTCATCTTGAGTCTTACATTTATTTTTCTAATAAAATAATTTGTCAAATAAGGCAAGTACTTCAAAGGCTGCCTAAACAAACTTGAACAGGGCAATATAAATGTAAAATATTGACTCTCTCAGATTTTTATGAGACATCTTAAAATGTCTGTAATGCTTTAAGCAAATAATGTTGTAATGCTCCATGTGTTTTTTGTCCCCTACAGTTGCTGGGGAACTGAGGTTTACTCTATCTAAAATTCCCAGAATACCCTGGGTCTCTACTGACCTGTCAACACATTCCTAAAGCTCCATTCACTCTCTAATTGGCTAGGACGTCAATGCATCCTGGTCCTGATTGGCTCACCTCTGAAAGCTCTGAGGCAACATATAACTTTACCGGCTCTGTTTACACGGATCCCCGGTTGCTGTGGCAACAGTGATGGCGAATGTTGCAATGCAGCGAGTGCCTTAAAGTTCTGACATATTCTTATGTAACTGCATGTGTGTTGATTGATTTGGACATTTCTTTATATGACTCACTCAGATTTAGGACCTAGAAATATGAGGTCAAAGGTCATGCTATACATATGAACTCACTTGGAAACATTGTCAGGGTGTCCAACAGGAAGGACGTCTGTGTTTTATAGATGTTTAAAGGCCAAATGGTAAAGTCAGCACTTAAGATTTCACTGGTTTTGCATCGTTGCCGCAGGTCAGTGAGTACAGTAGCTTTCATATCAGTCGAAACCAGTTCTAAATCCTTCATCACGTTATCCCAGCATGTCAGAGCACAGAATGGCAAAAAAAGCCTTGTAGTCATAAAATCGCACAATATTATCATCGTAACAAGAAACCCGTAGAGACAAAAAGACCTTTGTTTTACAGCACACCCCATTCCACAATATAGAGGAAAGGGCTTTTATGAGAATCTTTCATAACTTATAATGCCTTTGGGGAAAACATCGTTCCAATGCTTCCATTGTTTTACAAGTTTTAAATGAACAGGATTATGTCATTGTAAGTAAACAGAACTTACTCTCAGTTCATGGGATGGTGCTTCTGGTTTAAAAGGTGAGTGGCTCATAACTTGAAAACGAATGGACGAAAGAAAGGAAATAGAGGGCGAGATGGATCTGACCCAGCGGCCCGGCAATTTGACCATTTCCTGACTTCAAAATGATACTTAAGTCACAGGCTAAACTAAGAATGACGAGAGTTGGTCAGTTTCCCACAGCGTAAATCTGCTGGGTCAGTGCTGGTGTCCTCATTTAGTTTTTTTTTTCTTTCTTTCTTTTTAAGAGTTTCTTAAGAGAAATTTGAAATAATAAAACTAGCTTTTTTTATTTCTATGTGGTTGATAAGGTGTTTTGTTTTGGGGCATGTTTCTATGTGGTTCCATTGCATAAGATAAAATGTATGCACCAGGGTTATTTTCTGAAACCATTAAAAAAAGCATTTTCATTACTTGAGATATAATAAAATATTAAAAAAAAAAATATTTCATTTCAGCTACCTGCCAAGGCAACGTTTAAAATTTGTATTCATTTTAGGTTAAAGTACTAAACTAAGCAAAACGAAATAAATGAAAACTAATAATAAAAAAATACAATACAGATTTTTTTCTTTTTACTATACATAATGCAGAAACATTATCTTTAAAAAACACCCCAAAACGAATAAAAATGACAAAAATACAACAAAAGTTCTGACATTTTAATTACAATTGAAGTGAAATTAATAAAATATAAAACTAAAATCTTATCTAATTGGTTTTCTTTTTTTATGTGATTTGTACATTTTGTTAATTACAGCTGTATTTTTATTTTTTTTACCACAGTTTAACAGTGTCTAAGAAAAACTTTAAATGAAATATGACAGAAAAAAATAAATGTCTTACGTGTCATTTACAGGGTGTTTTCTCTTTTTTATGTATCATTTACAGGATTTTTCTTTTTTTTTTGGATTGTGATTCTCAAAATTTCAAATTATGAAATGTATGAAAATATTATTTAATTATTATTTACTTAATTATTATACACATTAAGTGTGTGTGTGTGTGTGGTCCTGGTTGGGCTACAAAGATGGCAATATCCAAAATCTTTGTCTTTGTGGGGAAATTTTTTTGGAAACAAGCTTATAAACCATACAAGGCAAGGCAAGGCAAGTTTATTTATACAGCACATTTCATACACAATGGTAATTCAAAGTGCTTTACATAAAAGAAAAGAAAAAATAAGAATAATCACAACAATAAAACAAGGAATTTAAAAACTTTGAAAATGATAAATAAAATTGATTTAAGAGGTTTAATTTACAGAATTAAGTTTTTTGAAAATCTAAAAATGCAAAAAGATTTTTGTGAGGGGGTAGGTTTAGGTGTAGGGTTGGTGTAGGGCGATAGAAAATACAGTTTGTATAAAAACCATTACGCCTATGGAATGCCATAAAGCATGGAAACCCAACATGCGTGTGTGTGTGTGTGTGTGAGTGAGTGTTTTTCTCTTTTCTGTGGTGAACGAGGTGTTTTCAGAGCAGTATAGGAGGTTTGAATGTTTACATCCACCCTCCTCCTCTGTATCTGCACGTGTTGTGGGATGTGGTTTGCCCAGAAAAGAGGAGTAAAAAGAAAATGGAGCAAAAACAGTTATTCGTTTGAGTGCACCCTCCTCGCCCGTTCCCATTTGCTATTGGACGTGAGAGCAGCCAATGAGTGGGTGGGGAGGTGGACTTCCTGTGGGCCAGCGACACGGGCCCCACATGTAAAATATTCCTGACCTCTCCCATGGTGTTTATTTTAAAAAGAAAAAAGGAAAGCGTTCCCCATCATTAAGGAAAACAGTGAGCCTGTGCGTGTGGTATCTGGATGCTTGCCTGGTCTTAGTTTTACTGCACCGTGATTGGTGGAGAGGATTCAGTTTTTTTGTTTTTTTTGCAAAACAGGCTCTTCTTATGTCACATCACATATATGAAACATGTATGTTTGGAAGGGGCGGGACAGTGTGAATGACAGCAGACGCACACCAGAACACTGTGTTCTGATGTAGATAAGACGTCTGCTGGTGTGGGCGAGTGTTGGGACACATTCTTGGGCTCCATTGATCTTCTATCTGTAGGGTCACATGTATGTACAGGTGCATCTCAATAAATTAGAATGTCGTGGAAAAGTTCATTTATTTCAGTAATTCAACTCAAATTGTGAAACTCGTGTATTAAATAAATTCAATGCACACAGACTGAAGTAGTTTAAGTCTTTGGTTCTTTTAATTGTGATGATTTTGTCTCACATTTAACAAAAACCCACCAATTCACTATCTCAACAAATTAGAATACTTCATAAGACCAATAAAAAAAACATTTTTAGCGAATTGTTGGCCTTCTGGAAAGTATGTTCATTTACTGTACATGTACTCAATACTTGGTAGGGGCTCCTTTTGCTTTAATTACTGCCTCAATTCGGCGTGGCATGGAGGTGATCAGTTTGTGGCACTGCTGAGGGGGTTTTTGTTAAATGTGAGCCAAAATCATCACAATTAAAAGAACCAAAGACTTAAACTACTTCAGTCTGTGTGCATTGAATTTATTTAATACACGAGTTTTACCATTTGAGTTGAATTACTGAAATAAATGAACTTTTCCACGACATTCTAATTTATTGAGATGCACCTGTAGATGCGATCTCTCTCAACCTACATGTCTCTAACAGGTACTGTAGACAGTGATAAGGGCATGTTAAGAGAACCAAGATCAAAAAGAAGAATCACGAAACACAGAAAATTAAGCAAAAGTATTGGATTGTTGTTGGAAAAGCAACAACAACAACAACAACAATAATAATAATAATAATAATAATAATGTAAAAACATTACAAAGATGATTATGTAAAAGCACATCTAGCGCCCCCAGGTGGTTTCTATAAAAAGAAAGTTGCAGATTGAAAAATTAATAGTGAAATGCTGCCATCTATTGGTAGATATGTGTAATTTAGGTTGTCAGTTTCAGTACTTAATTTCTACATACGTCGGGTGCATTAATTTATCATGACAAACTTAATCAAATATTCATATTGTTTTGTAGTGCACTTCAAAAAGAAGCCATAAATATTACACTCTAAAAAAAGCTGGGTTGTTTCAACCAACTTTGGGTCAAATATGGACTAACCCAACCGTTGGGTTAAATTTTTACATTAAATTTTTAACCCAAAAGTTGGGTTAGTCCATATTTGACCCAAAGTTGGGTTGAAACAACCCAGCATTTTTTAGAGTGTATGTTGGCCAATTGCCAACATCAAACATCCATGTAGAAGACTTTTTATACAGTTATATTTACATTACATGCATAATTAAATTACAATATTAATATTCCATTTAAAGGTTTTTATGTATTTTATGTAAATGATATAAATAGGTATTTTATACTTTTTAATATTTTTGCGCATGAAATTATTTATGTGTGTGTAGAAAATGTTAAAATGTGTGTGTTTTTTTTTTTAATTAAAAATATTTGGTTGGAGTGTTTGTCCTGATTGGAACAGAGAGAGTGGAAGAAAAAGTAGGATTAATTATAGAAAAAATCTTCTCAGTAGTTTTGACATTTAAATGGGTTCATTTAGCTTTTTTCCATTTGCACTGAGAACTTCTCTCTGGCTTTGAAGGATCTTATCTGAGTACAGATAAGAGTACAGATGATGCTGGAAACCACTGATATTTCTTCTAAAGATGAGGGCAGATGGCCTCTTGTTTTCCTCCACTGAAAATATTCTAGCACACTGTTGGTGAATTAATGCATCTGAAATAAGTATGCATGAGTCTGAAAATATTCTTTTATACGTTAGACCCAACAGATGCATCACATTACTTTGCCACATGTGCCAACAGAAGCTAGACATATGTATACCATAAAAGGTGCATTTAATGCCATTTAATGCTAATTACAATAGCAGAAAAATATTCAATTTAATTTAATTTGATTTGATTAAATATGTATGAAATGATTTCTCTCTCTCAGCCTACAGAACCTCTCAACATGAATCATTATGCCACTAAGAAGAGTGTGGCAGAGAGCCTGCTGGATGTGGCGCTGCTGATGGCAAATGCCTCTCAGCTGAAAGCTGTCCTGGAGCAGGGCCCCGAGTTCAAGTACTACTTCACTGTCATCGTCCTCATCGCCGCGTCTCTCTTCTTCCAAGTGCTCGTAGGGGCTCTCTTTGTCCACATGGGTGAGAGTGAAATCCATCATGCATTATGCCCAATACCTGTAAGTATGTTTTATATTTAGTTATTTCTTTTCATACAATCTTCCCTTCTCAGCACGCAAAAACCTCAATGACGTGGCCAATCAGAGGAAGCTGGACATAATAAACAATGTGGCCACTGTGCTGGTGTTCCTCACCGTCATCATCAACATCTTCATCACCGCTTTTGGAGTGCAGAAGACAGGTCTCTATCCTAAGCAGTAAACTGTCTGTAAGATACAGGTGATACAGAAAATAAAAATCAATGTTGAATATGCATGCCACAGTATAATGAGCAAACTGACTGTTTCTTTCATGTTGTTTGGTTTTAGGGTCTCAGTAATGGTCATTCTTCAGGCCGGTCCAATCATGAAAGACTTCCTTCTGGCTTTGATATTTGTTATACTATAGAAGACACAGTTATTTTATGGTCTTTTTAAAAATTCATTTATTTCTACAGAGGGCATTATATTAAAGGGTCTACAACATACATTTATCATAGACTGTCTAATGATTTATATTACCTAGAGGCAAAACTATAATCAAATAACACAAATTCATCATCTAATATGTGTTGTACACTTCATATTGTCCCAACTATTCATAAACGTTTATTATAAAATACTTAACTGTTTACTATCCAGTTTAATGTATTTAAATGATCTCTGGCACTTTTTCTGTAAAAAATGTCTTTGTACCCATAAAACGTGTGTGTGTGTGTGTGTGTGTGAGAGAGAGAGAGAGAGAGAGTGCGATACAGTACACAACGATCACGTGGGTTGCTTGACCTAAAGGAAGATATCTACTGACCTCTAGTGGACTATATATATATGTGTCATAGAAACAGACAAATGGAAATAAGTAATGAAAAAAAAACATAAATCCCTTTCAAGTTTTAAATGTAAATTAAATTTGCCTTGTGGATTTACCTACGGTAACTAAAGCATTAATAATAATAATAAGAGATCAACACCAGAAAATATATTTCAGGTATTAATGGGATGCAAATGGAATTGGTTTGAAAATGCTTTCAGTAAGAATGATGATTTAACTTCCTTACAAAGCTGATCTGATAATCACATAGTTAAAGCAATGAGACTAGAGCCTAATTTTATTAAATGTTCTTGTTTAAGGGAATTGAACATCCTGAACCTGATCAATGCAGTTTGGGTCTGTGAGTCCTTTTCCTGCAGTCATGCTTCAGTTACACAAGCAAGTGATATCATTCAAACCCCAAATTACACCCAGAAGACCAATGCTGGAGGAGGTCTCCATCGTGTTGGTATACAGCTCCAGTCTCCAGTGCTCAACATATAGAGAATATCTGAAGATGTGATGATGGGTAAATCTGAACAGAATGGATGTTGTTTAGTCTGTTGACATTTACATTTAATCATTACCAGATTCTTTTAATCCACAACAACTGTCAAAATGAAAAACACCACCAGCAAGTCACTAATATAATGATTGTAACTGTTAAGGATTGAAAGGATTAAAAGAGTGAACGAGTTTAAGAGTAAAATAAATCTTTAGCACTATCAAATGAGTTGTAATATTATTATATTATGGTATCATAGAATAGTAATGGTATCATAGAAATAAAAATTGAAAATAATAAATATAGTTGTCATGTCAAGAAATAAAAAATATTTTTTTTCTTTGTTACTGAAGTATAAACCGAAGTATAAATTGTGTGTGTATATATATATATATATATATAAATAAAGGAAAGAAAGAAAGAAAGAACAAGCTGCTACACTTGAAGCCCAGTGTATGTGGTGCCACCTCAAATAAGAGGTGCAGAAGCGCTCGTGCACGTCACGGCGGTCATGGAGGCCAGTGTCGGGCGCGCGCATCCCGGTTCGTTACGTCACTTGAAGCGCCCTGGCTCGTAGCTCTGGCAAAGAGAGGAAGAAAACGACAGAAGCACTCTAGAACAAGGCTTTCCCCGCCGTTATCAGCTCTCAAAGTGATAACGGCCCGTCTACAACAATAGATGTAGGCACAGCCATCTCACCAAACCGGACTAACCTCTTGTGGAAGAAGGTAAGGAGCTTTTGAAAGTGATTTTCCTCAGCTGAAGAGTCTGAGCTGCTCGGACACAAGCCCATTGATAGTGTATGTGGAGATATATCTGTTTACTGCACACTAACGGTCTATATACGTTCGTATGCGCCCAGACAAACTAGAGGGAAGGTAAATAAAGCTGATATTTCACACTATGCGCACTAGAGACTGTTCAAATGAAACGCTGTTGCGCCAGCAAGCAATGGAGGAACAGGAGGAGGGGAAAAAGAAAAAAATATATACACACATATTCCGTGTTAGAGAGGTGTCTCGTTCCAGTGGCGAGTTTATGATTCGACATGAACGGCTATAGTGAGACAATCTGGACACTATTGTGTGGTAAAAACCGCTGCGAATCCGTCCAAAGCTTCAGCCCAGGCGGTGTCAAGCTTCTTCAAGAGGAAGTCCTGTGACTACATGTGCATTTCAGACTTTCATTCCTGATTTCTTTGCTTATTTCCTACGTAGAACAGATTTAAAGCGTCCGCAAGGCGGTTACTAAATATCCGCGAATTGTTACAAAGTATCTCCTCACTCTCTGTGACGTCAGCAGGAAAATATGTATCGGTTACAAAATATCTCTTCTTTAGAACAAACACAAAGTATCTCCCCGCTGGGGAAATATTTACCCGAACTCCAAACGGAGAAGTTGTTTATTATTGAGCAAATCAAACCCTCAAACACAACAGTTTTGTTTAAAAGCAGATGATGTTGTTATAGGACCCTGCAGGTAGTTCAATCAAGTGTTGTTCCCGACTGATTCTCGTTTAGAATAATTTGATTGGCTCCTCTGTGAAGGATCCAAGAGCCCCTCCCTTATTTTTAACCACAGTGTTTAATAATAGCATAATATATATTTATATATTATTATACTTATTTTTACTGTAATATTAAATATTGATGTTAAATGTTACTCTTATTCCTTCGTAATGTGATGTTTTTTTACAATTCAGTTTTTATTAGCTCATTAATTGCATGGACTATGCGTTGAATATTTATTTATATATAATAAATTAAAAATAATTTGTGATTAAACTTTTTTGTCTGAAAATGTGGACCTTTTTGTTGATGCTGGTTGTAAATTACAGTGCAAAATAAAACCTGACATCCTCTTTTATTCATATGGATGTTAGGGGTGTTCATGTGTTATGAATATTAGAGATATCAATCATATATCTAGTGATCCAACAGGTGTCTCGCACATCAGTGCTTTGGTTCAGTACTGTTTTGTGTTGTTGATCCTTGTTTATGGAAGCCTGTGGTTGTTTTGTTCCCCCATGTCTAATCACATGACATATCACACGTTTTGCTGTGAATTTTGTCAGTAGAATAGACCAACAGTGATTTGATAACCATGCCGAGGAAGTGCTTTCTTGCTTTCTCGGTTGTGTGGATCTCAGCAGGTTTCTTCAGTGGCAACATTAGGTCTATATGTTCAGTCCGCTGGATCAATCCTGTGTATCTGTGTTTGTCAGGGTTTGACTGGGCTGCTTGTGTCAGGAAGCTGGAATTGAGGTCTTTCTGACATAGAAGGATTACTGTAATGTCAAGCCGACCTGGTGTGAACTCATACACAAACAAACATGTTTGACTAGCATTTTTTTTTTAAATGAACAAATACCGAAATCTATATCTAGCAGGTTGACTGATGACGGATCACATATTTATTTATTTATTTTAATTGTATTTTTAAATTAATTTGTGTATTATTTATATTACTTATTTGTGACCCTGGACCACAAAACCGGTCATAAGCGTCAAGTTTTCGAAATTGAGATTTATACATCACATGAAAGCTGAATAAATAAGCTTTCCATTGATGTATGGTTTGTTATGATAGGACAATATTTGGCTGAGATACAACTATTTGAAAATCTGGAATCTGAGGGTGCAAAAAAATCAAAATATTGAGAAAATCGCCTTTAAAGTTGTCCAAATGAAGTTCTTAGCAATGCATATTACTAATCAAAAATTACATTTTAATATATTTACAGTAGGAAATTTACAAAATATCTTCATGGAACATGATCTTTACTTAATATCCTAATGATTTTTGGCATAAAAGAAAAATCTATAATTTTGACCCATACAATGTATTTTTGGCTATCGCTACAAATATACCCCAGCGACTTAAGACTGGTTTTGTGGTCCAGGGTCACATTTTTATTTAAATAAACTTCATTTATTATGCACTTTATTAAACTTTATTTAAATAATAGCAGAAAAGATTTACTTAAAATTTAAATTGAAAACACAGTTGAAAACATCAAATGTTTACATATCTTCAGCATGCAGGGAAATGCTTCTGGCCGCCAGGGTTTGTGTCTGTATCTTCTCAGACCTGGAACTTTCCTAGGATCTGATTTGACACATGTGATGTCTGTTCGGTGATGAGGGTGACTGAATTACTGCAAAGAAGATCTAAGCACTGCCTAAAACCATTTGTTCGTTTTTTTAGTAGAGAAAAATGTTAAGTAGCAAAAGCGTAGATGTTTGTTTGAATAAACTGAGACATATCAAGATAAATCGCTGAGATTAGGGTGTATATGATTGACCTGTCTCCTCTTTTGTAAGATCTGGCCAGGTCTTCATTTTTATTTCATCTCTGGAGGGTGTATAAATGCAGGGAGGTGAGTGATTCTTAGACTCTGAGACATGCAGGAAAGTTTGTCTTGTGTCAGCGTGTACCAGCATGCTTTCATTTCTCAAGGAGAAGGTGTTGTTCTGTTGGTGGTTTGAAGCCTATGAAAAATGTATTTTTACTTTTGGATATGTGGATGTGTTATGCAATCTGGTGTGTTAAGAGAAACACTTTTTTGAAATGGTGAAGCCATGGTGGGATGCAGGATAGGTTTTAAGGGTGCATCTGGATTTTAAGTCCTTAATGCCTCATAATGTAATGCTTGTAACCTGTTTTTAGTTGAGATGTAAATGAACATGACATCTTTATTTTTTTCTAGATTAATTTTTTTGTTTATTTTTTTTATTTTACTTTTTTGATTTATCAGTTGATATTAGATATTTATTAGATATTTCCTCTATTTTTACATTTAGATTGGCATTTGTCGTAGTCTATAAAACTTAAGTTAATCTTTATAAACATTAATAATTTAATAATGTTTGTAAATGTAATCATTATCAAATCTGAAAAAAACAATATCCAATTTTAATAATGCATATTATTGTTTTAATGTCTAAATTCACTAGTTTTAAAAAAATTGATTAAAAAAAAATTATTATTAATTTTAATATATCGGTTAAGCATTAACAATTAAATATCTAATATCAAATTATATATTTAAAAAAAATTTGATCAATCATTTTAAATGCTACAAGTGAATTTAGGCATCACAGCATTATAATGTAAAAAATGAAAAACTGGCGTTGATTTTCAAATTTTAATAAAGATTATATTTTATAGTGTAAAAATGGGAATGCTCATTTCCTATACTTTTACAATTATGTAATATAATTTCATATGTTTTAGATTTTTTTGATTGCTTTTGCCATCATCTAACACTCACTTGAAGTTAATGTTTATAAACACTAATAATTAAAAAACACTGTTAAATGTAATATCCAGTTTTTATAATTCACATTACAATGTTGTGATGCCTAAATTTACTTGAAGCATTTAAAATGATTTATTTGTGTGTGTGTGTGTGTTTTTTATTTTGAATTAATTTAGACAGAATTGTATTTAATAGAATTTTAATATTTGTCTTTTATTGATTATTGGCCAAAATAACTGAAACCAGGCCATTCACACAGAACGCATATTTATCACATTATCACAAGAGAGCGGCATGTTTAGAAAGCCTTGTAAAATTAATGTAAGTTCAACTTTTAAAAAACACATCTCGACTTTATGGCGGTTTTTCCCCATCCCACTGTATCTTATGTTTTTAAATGAAGAAAGTAGCCTACTCTTTGTGATTGGTTTTCGGTCCTTTGTATTAAACTATACATACATGCATGGTGCTGTTTTTTTTTTCTAATTGTTTAAGCAACTTTATTAATTATATATGGTTTATAAACATTATTTTAAACATTATGCACTTTTTTTTTCAAAGATAGTCGTGTTATTTTATTACGCTTTGAAGAAACGTGCATTAGGGCTGTCAAAAAAAATTCGTTGAATTAAAAAAAAAAATCCACATTCGAATGCAATTTATAGGTCTGTGTCAGCCATCAGGCAGCCTTATCAGTGGCGCACAAAATGTGACGACGATGTAACTGTCATTGCATTTTAATGCTTTTGTTAGCCTATTCAGCTGAACCCACTAGATGTGGCACTGCTACGTTGTTCATTCAATATATTGCGGAAAGCGAGAGCATCAGTGTGGAGAAAATGTTGTTTACGTCAAAACTGAAACCAAGCCGTTCACACAGAATGCATATTTATCACATTTTCTAGAGGGACATCTATCAGTGTTGCACTCGCGTCTCGCACAAAAGAGCGGCATGTTTAGAAAGCCATGTAAAATTAATGTAAGTTCAACTTTAAAAAAACATGTCTCAAGACTTTATGGCGGTTTTTCCCCATCCCACTGTATCTCATGTTTTTAAATGAAGAAAGTAGCCTACTCTTTGTGATTGGTTTTCGGTCCTTTGTATTAAACTATACATACATGCATGGTGCTGTTTTTTTTTTTCAAATTGTTTAAGCAACTTTATTAATTATATATGGTTTACAAACATTATTTTAAACATTATGCATTTTTGCATATGCATATTTTATTATGCTTTGAAGAAACGCAAAAAGCTTTTTTCCCCCTAACTGAAATTATGCCTTTTAAATTCGAATATGATTTGAAATTATGATTTGATATGATTTTGATAATATTTAAGTAGAAAATTCTAATTTAGTTTTTCAGTCATTTTGACAGCCCTACTACAAATGCAACAGCAACTCAATGACTGTGCTGAGCAAGCCAGACTCAAGCTGTCCAGATAGAGGGAGCCCAGCAGGATTCTGATTCTCCTGAGTCCCTCGTGTGGTTTAGCATGTCTGGTGCGGGCAGCCTATCTTTGACCTAATTAACTCTCGCAAACAGACGGACAGACAGGGGACGAGAACCTGTCAGGCCAGAGAAGAAAAGCACATTCAACACCGGCTCTCTCGTTTCATGCTAGCAGGTCAGGACTGGAGATGAGAATTGATTAGTTGATCCGGAGTCTCAGAGGAATGATGTGTTTGCTGAAGAGTTTGTAACAACATCTTTGGCTTATAGCTCTAAAGCTGTGGGTTTGGGAAACAGTAATGTGTAATATGGGAGTCACTTTAGTGGTTTTAGCTAAGATTCTGTTATGTAATTATTCTGTTATTTTACAGTTTATAAATATACAATAACATTTCTAAAACTTGAACTGAAATTAAAATGAAAATATAAAATGCAGAAAATAAAAATAAAAACGTATGGCAAAAGATAAAAAAAAACTGTAATAGTATTTC